GACCAAAGCCCTTTGACACACAGAGGCTCTCACGCACTTGTCCCCACACCCGGCACATACATATATCTGCAGTGTGCTCGCACACCCACAGGGAACTCCCTCCCCAGCTCCCGCTCCTAGTTATAAATTACCATGCAAAAATACACATAGCACACACACAGGGCACACGTTTCTCTCTTTCCTGTAAGCTAGACCACTGGACACCTACCCCACACCCAGTAAACACATTCGTATACTTACAGCCCAGAGAACACACCCCACCTCACTGGTACCGATTGACCAGTGTCATTCATTCATTCATGTGTTCGTTCCACCAACACACATTGGGCATCTGCTACATGCTAAGCTTCATCAGTGAGCAGCACCGGCGTCCCTGCCCTCAGTGAAGCCGCTTTCTAGTGGGGGAGGTAAGGAAGGCACCCAGAAGTTCCCCAGGCAGAGAGCTCACAAGCATCAAACACTGATCTGCGAAGAGAAGCCAGAGCAATGAGCAAACCTGCAGGGAAACGCCATGGCGGAATGACCTTGGGGGGAGAGGGGCAGACACAGGAGTTTCATGTTTAGACAAAGTGGGATTAGGTGAAAGTGATCACCTTTCATTTGATTAGTACGAGAACGCTTCCTGGGGGCAGACAGCCGGCCTGTGGGAGGGCGGGAGCTGCGGAATGCAGGCCTTGGGGCGCTTTGGCTGGGGGAGACAGACCTTCCAAGCATAAATGGCCCTGGAAGGCTTCTCTGGGAGGCCACAGACACCCGGTCACGTGGGTCATGTGCAGGTGGGGGTGGGGTGGGGTGGGCGCCAGTGGTTTAAGGCCGTCTTAGCCTCTCGCAGTGCTGGGCCTCTCATTCACCCGAAGGGAAACTCAGACCTGCCAGGTTGAGTCGAGTGACTTCTCAAAGGTTTTTGGTTGGGGGTGGGTGGCAAGGTGTGCGGGTGAGTGTGGGGGTGGGGAGAGGGTGGAGCCAGCCCTGTGGGCTAACGGAAAGGAAGTGGGAGAGGCCTGGGTGTCTCCTGTGGGGGAGAGTGGTCATCCGGGAGGGTCACCCGTGGTCCCCTTCCCTTTCCTCCCCTTTGCCCCTCTCTGAAGTTCCTCATTTCTTTCTGGGCCAGGAGGTTTTGCCACCCTGGCACTGGCAAAGGAGTGCCGAGGAGGTAGGGGTCAAGTGTGTGGCTCCTCCTCTGGTGCGTGGAGCTGGTTCTTCAGGTGCTCGTGGTTGAAGCCAATCATAGGCCCACCACACCAACACACATGTGGACGCCACACAAAGCCGAACCCTCGGGGCCAGAGCCATGGTACCTGGACATGGAGTAGCCTGAGTGTTAGGGTGGAGAGGCTGAGAATGTTTTGGTGGGAGGGGCGTGGGAGGGGAGCTGGGGCTTTTGGAGGCAGGCCGGGGTGTGCCGCAGATGACTTGAGAAGGGCAGGGAGCACAGGAAACAATCAAAGAGGCCCAGTGCCATGTGAGCACCGGAGGTGTAGACTGTGAGTGCCAGAGGCATTCTGGGAGAGGAGAGACATGTGGGCTGCAGCAGACAGATTTCCTGGAAAAGGGGGCCCTGAGCTGGCCCTGGAGGATGGGGAAGGTTCCTGTGGGCCCCTCCCCCAGCTGGGGCTCTCCCAGGGTGACAGTTCACTCTTGAAACTGAAAGCAAAGCTAAACCAAAGAGCCCAAGCCACATACAGCACAGAGGCCATTGTGCCTGGCATCCCCAGCGGGTGGTGGTGGCTGGGTGGTGACTAGAGCAGGGCATGTGGCCCCCCCGGCCCTCTGACATCAGGCTCTCTGGAGGCGTGGCCGAGTCTGAGAGTGCCATCCCCTGTCGCTGGCCCTGACAACACAACCCTTATAGTGAGAGATCACTTCCTCTGTGGACTCTGCCCTTCAGAACTAAGCGGCCCTTACTCCCACGGTGGACCAAGTCAGGCAGAGTCTAGAAGACCATCCTGTGCACCCAGATCCCTCACAGGGGTCCTTTCCCCAGCCAAGGGAATTGTAGGGTCTTCACGCTCCATCCACAAGGCCACTCTGGCTGCCCTGGCTTCCCCTATGGCCACACCCTGGGGATTAATCTTCAGGGTGGAGAGTGCGCAAAGTCCTGCTCTGTCTCATCTTTTCCACATGGGATGGGAAGTGAGGGAGACTGCGTATCTTGGGGGTCCCTCAGGCGTAGGTCCCCATGACCCAGACCGGCACCAAGGCTTAGCCCTTCTGTTCCCACTGTCTTCCCCTTTTCCTGCTGTCCCTCTTCTGGCAGTCTGTCCTGGGAACAGGACCGAAGGAAGGTGACTGGCTCACTGTCCCCATCTCTCCCTTCTCTGTAGGTCACTCCTGCGCCTGGCCCAGCCCAGCATGCAGCCTTGAACCTGGGTTAGGCCCCTGCCTATTCCAGTTCTCTACAGCCCCTATTGTACTGTGACTCAAGGAGTAGGTGCTAGGCTCAAGGTATCTGAACAGCATCTTTTCATCAAGGAAACGCCGCGGCTCCAGTGGGCCCTGCAGGCCCTGCAGTCAGCTCTCTGACAAGACAGCATGGCTGTTGCCCTGCAGCCCAGTGACCTGATCTTTGAGTTTGCAAGCAACGGAATGGATGACATCCACCAGGTATGGCCCCAGAGAACAGAGCCTGGTCAGTCGGCACAGATGATCAGATAGATCCAGACAGGCAGGCAGATAGCCAGTAAGCTGGCCGGTTGGCCAGCTAGCCAGTCAGCAAACACTGATCAAGCACCTACTAGGTTCAAGGCATGGAGGCTGTGGGCCAGGCACACTGTGCCACCAGCTAGTCCCATGTGGCCAGGCAGTAGTCATCGGGCGGTCACTTAGTGAGCTGGTTTGGCCAACATGCAATTACAGGGCACGCGTAGTTCCCAAGTCAGCCAAGTAGCTGCTATGCACACTGGCTGATCTGTCAATCAGCAACGGGGGGCTGAGTGCACACGTGTACACTGACCTCCATGTGTGTTCTTTGGCCACTTCACCCCATGTCACAGTGAGAAAGGTGCTGAGACAACCACACAGTAGGACAGAACTGCCAGCTGGCACCACAGGGTACAGTCCATCCCCTGGCACCTTCAGACTGCTGTCCTAGCATGGTTGATGGGCCCTTCCATAACCGTCTTTTCAACCACCATCTAAGGATTCAGAATAAACTGGAAATTGGGTCCTCTGGTCGGAGGAAATTGGAAACTAGGACAGAATTCTGGCACTCAGGCCCCTGCTGCTTATACCTTGCCCGGCACCCTCCTTCCACACACTGGAGAAGAGGAGGCAGCCAGGTACTGCAGAAGGAAGGGAAGATTAGTGGTCCGAAGCCCTGAGTTCTGATCCCAGTGTGGCCATGGTGTCTCCTGGGCAAGACCTGTCCCCTGCCCTACCTGGCTGCCATCTCCCCATCTTCATCAAGAGGAGGTCCAGCTGGATCATCTCCAAGGGCACCAAGCCTAGTTCTGATGCTGTCTCTCTCAGATCCCTGTGAGGACAGGAAACTTCGTCCAATCTCTAGTGACCAACCAAAGGCTGCCCCCTAGTGGTCATGGAGCACACGGTGCTTTCTGTCCTGCTAGATGTTAAGCTGAAGTGGCTCAGTTTTATCCAACACCTATGGCATGCCTAGCCACCTGAAACAAGGGAAGAAAAATCTAACCTTACCTGGGTTCTCAGTGTGGCTAGTCATCTTTTACTTGTTTCTAGACCACTCAACAATTCTTTCTATTCTTCCTAGAAGCTGCTCTTCATAGAAGCTGTTCTTACCTCCTGAACCCACAGCTGCCCCTCCACCCTCTGAGACAGCCTCTTCTCCAGTCCACAGAGGAGCTCAAAGCCAAGGATGCCCTCACTTTCCCTCCTTCCTCCCTCTTAGCAATAACACCTGTTCTTATTTCCTTTCTGCTGGCCTGGGAGAAAGAAGTATCCCTCTTCCTTCCAAGGGCAACACCTACCCCGGGGCTTAATCTCTTCTCTCCTGCCGCCTTCCACACCTCACACCATCCTTCACCTCCTGTCTCTCTTGTGTCTTTTACACCTCCCAGACCTCTCTCCTCAACCAAGAACATCTTCGTGTCCCCCTAACCCTAAGAGAAACCCTCCCTCCCTTCTGTCCGCCTCTTTAACATACCACCTTCTTAGCTCTGTTCTTCTCCCCAATGTAACCTCCATCATCTGGGTTTACTTTCTCACTTCCCTTCTCTCACTGTTTTTAGGAAACACTTTTTGTTGCAAAATACAGTTTGAATATCAAACAGATAACCTGTAATTGAAAAGAATCTGAAAAAATATATTTTAAGAATAACTATAAAATTAACACTCATTAACTCACCACCCAGGTTAAGAAATTAAATGTTACCAGTCTCCTTGGGGGCTTCCCTGGTGGTTCAGATGGTAAAGAATCCACCTGTAAAGCAGGACCTGGGTTTGATTGTTGGGTTGGGAAGATCCCTTGGAGAAGCGAATGGCAACCTATTTCAGTATTCTTGCCTGGAGAATTCCATGGACAGAGGAACCTGGTGGGCTACAGTCCATGGAGTCGCAGAGAGTCGGACATGACTAAGCGACTAACACTACAACAGTAGTCTCCTCAGAGTCCCTGATGCCTAAAGCATATAATCAGAACCTACTGTACATCAGACTCTGTTCTAGGTGCTTTATGTACATTGATCCGTTTAAACAACCCTATGTGGTCAATAATATGATCACCCCAGTTTTATAAAGGAGAAAACGGATGCACAGAAAGGTATCTTGCCCATGATCACACTGCTCATAAATGGCAGAGTTTGGGCTCAAACCCAGGCAGCCTGGCATCAGTATGGTCCAGTAGAGTTTTCTGAGTGCTCTTAGCTCCCCTGGTGGCTCAGGCGGTAAAGCATCTGCCTGCCATGTGAGAGACCTGGGTTCGATCCCTTGATCGGGAAGATCCCCTGGAGAAGGAAATGGCAACCCACTTCAGTACTCTTGCCTAGAAAATTCCATGGATGGAGGAGTCTGGCAGGCTACCAGTCCATGGGATCGCAAAGAGTCGGACACGACTGAGCGACTTCACTAGATTTGTGCTGTCCAGTATGCGGCCACGTGGCCGTGGAGCACTTGAACTATGGCCGGTGCAACTGAAGGACTGAATTTTAATCTTGAAAAACTTTATATTTACATTTAAATAGTCACCAGTGGCTAGCAGCTACCATGTTGGACAGCTCTAAACTCTGGCCTTAATCACTATACCCACCTGCCTGTCTCCTTCCATCCGTCCTCTCTGAGCCCCAGCACTCCCCTGAAACTGCTCTAGCCAGGTGACTGCCCAGCAGCCAAACCCAAAGGCAGTTTCATCAGTTTTTATTCCGGATCCTTCAGGAACATTAGGTAAAACTGAGCATTCTCATTCCTTTTTCATGAAGAAAGAATTAATAGCCCCATGAAAGAAAATACAGAAATGTAGAAAAGGAAAAAAAAAAAATCACCCGCAGTCCCACAACCAAAATATAATTATTATGAACATTCCAGTACATTTCCTTCTATAAGTAATTTTTAAACAACAGTTGCAATCACACTTATTTTTAAAATTTACCTTTGTTTGATTTCAGAATAACTATGTCCTCTGGGGGTCAAATTCTCATCCTGATGATTTTACCCACTCTCAGCGATGAGCTCGTGGATACATATTTTTGACTCCTTGATAGGTATCTCCATTTTAAATATCTCAGTGGTACCTCCAACTGACCACATTCAGACACTTGCTCCCTTATCTTTCTCCAAAAACCTGCTCCTCTTCTTTCTGGGTTCCCCCTTAACAAGAACAGTACCCCCATGCGCCCACCAAATCAAGCCAGAAATCGGAACCCTCTCCCCCATCCAGGTCATTACCTTTTTTAAAAAAAAAAATTTATTTTATATATTTGGCTGCATTAGATCTTAGTTGCAGTGCGTGGGCTCTAAAGCTCGAGGGCTTAGTTGCCCGACTAGGGTGGATCCTTAATCACTGGAGCACCAGAGAATTCCCAGCCCTTAACTTCATGTGTCTCTAATTCCTCTGTTCCTCCATCTTCATTCCTACTCTTATCATCACAAACTGAGCCCTAAGATGCTCACAGTCTGAGCCCTTCACACTGGTACCCAACCCTGAGCATAGGTTGAGTCCCTCAGCTGGCTGTAGATTGAGCCCCTGCCCTTGCCATTGACAAATCCTTTCCCACTGGTTTCAGAATGAGCCTAACTAACCCTGGCCACAGATTAACCCATAGCTGTAACCAGTTAAAACTGCCTGCCCTTGGTTGGGTGAAGGTGGTACAGAGCTAACCCGTTTCTACCAATCAAAACCCCACTAGTGAGTGAGGTTGGACCCAGAGCAATGCCGTGCCCTACAGAGGACAGCCCCCGAGGGACCCAAGAGTTAGGAATTGCAAGAAGGTCCAGATTCTGGTACAGAGGGCTTCCTGGGAGAGGCGGGTGGGCCTTGAACCGGATCACTGTCTTCTCCGTAGCTAGAAGATCCCTCCGTGTTTCCAGCTGTGATTGTGGAGCAAGTGCCCTACCCCGAATTACTGCATCTGTACTCAGGCCTGGAGCTGGATGACGTTCACAATGGCATCATAACAGATGGGACATTGTGCATGACACAGGATCAGATCTTGGAGGGCAGTTTTTTACTGGCAGGTCTGTTTCCTTCCTGGGCAGGGAAGGCGTGGAGGAGGGAGGGGTTCTGTCTTCAGGCAACAGTAGCCCACAGAGGCTTCTAGTGACCCCATGCAGCCAGGAGCAAGGCTCCCAATAGTTGGAAATTAGATGGGGTGACTAGGATAAGCAGAAGGTAGTACCACTGTAGAGAGGAGAAAGCTACGTAAATGGATTCATGATCTCCTGAAATGCAGTGGAACAGTGAGGGGAGACCAGCTCTGCTGGGATGGGTGTAGAGTAAGGTGGAGAATCAGGGTGGGAGGCACGCTGCTACCTTCCCGGCTGCCCCTGGGCTCCTTAGCCTCGTTCTGGCTGCACCCACTGCCCTATGTCCTAAGGAAACTTTTCTTCTCTCCCAACCATGGAACCTGGCACCAGATGACAATGAAACCACCTCACAAACCGTGTCAACCACTGAAGTCTTGCTCAACGTCGAGTCTCCCAACGACATCCTGGATGACAAGCAGATCTGTGAGTTTGAACTGTGGCGCCTCAACTCGTGGCAACACAAAATTCCATTTTAAAATACCACATCTGCGTATTGGATTCTCAGGGACCTGTGTGTGCGGACTAATGTACCCACACCACCCCTATACTTATTAACATGCTCTTGAGCTGTGAGTGGAGTGGGATGGGGCAGGATGGCCCCTGCAGATGAGGAGGAAGATGGAGTGACTTTTTATAGCTGTTTATAAAAATAACCAGATTGACTGGTTGTTTTTTCCAATTTTTAAATTACAGTAAAATACACATAGGGCTTCCCTGGTGGCTTGGTGGTAAAGAATCTGCCTCCCAATGCAGGATACATAGGTTTTGATCCCTGGGTCAGGAAGATCCCCTGGAGGAGGAAATGGCAACCCACTCCAATATTCTTGCCTGGAGAATTCCATGGACAGAGGAGCCTGGTGAGCTATAGTCCATGGGGTCACAAAAAGTCAGACATGACTGAGCGACTGAACAACAAACTACACATAACATAAAATTAACCACCTTAACCATCTTTCAGTGTTCGGGTCTGTGGTATTAAGTACATTTGTTATGTTGTGCAGCCACCATCATCCTCTCCAGAACTCTGCATCTTGCAAAACCTGAAGTCTATTCCCATGAAACACTAACTCCTCATTTCCCCCTCCCCTCAGCCCCTGGCCACCACTGTTCTACTTTATGTCTCAATGAATTTGACTCCTCTCAGGACCTCAGATGAGCCGAAGTGTACAGTATTTGTTTTTGGGGGGGACTGGCTTATTTTAATTAACATAATGTCCTCAAGGTCCATCCACGTGTAGCACGTGTCAGAACTTCCTTCCTTTTTTAAGGCCGAATGCTATTGGCCAGGGTAACGTCAGGCCGCTCTGCTGTCTCACTGAGCTCCCAGGATGACTGTGCCAGGTGCGGCTTAGAACTGTACCGAGCTGGAGCCTCCTCATCCCTTCCCTGTTCTAGGACGTTGGCCCCTACCTCCTGCGATGGCCCCTGAGGCAGGCTCCTCCCCCAGCAAATACCCCCATCCAGGCATTTGCCATGACTCTACAGGAAGATTCCTGGCTCCAACTGACCTTCCCAAGGAGGTGCTGGATACAGGGTGGCAAAAAAGCCATGAAGCTGCAGGTTCCAATTCCTCATCCCACCTCTGGCACTAATTTTCATTCAGGATTCAACAGATTATTTACTGAGTACCCTCACGTATCAGGCATGTGTGACCAAGTTGCTGTGTGACCCTGGTCACATGCCCTGCCATCTCTGGGTCTCAGTCTCCTCATCAGGGCTAAATGAGGTCTAAGGGCCCTTCTGGTTGTGAAATGAGTAGATGACTAAATGAAGGTGGCCCTTTTCCCTGGGTGTCACCTGGAACTTCCCACCACCAGCGGCAGGCTACACATGTGCGTGCTGTGATTGGGGCCAGCTCGTGCCCACAGCTCTGCAGATGTTTCCTCTCCTCATTCTGTGAGACACAGGAGGCATTTTCAGGTGTGTCCTGTGTCTGGGGCTGTGGTGAATGACACTTGAAGGCCCCCCCACCCCCCAGGAACCCACTGTTCTCTTGAGCACGGGGAGACCACACTCCTCCCGTGCCCTGGGTCCCCGCCACCTCAGGCCTTTCTTCTTGCAGTCAGCACCTCTGAAATGCTTCCAGAGCCAGACCCTGCTCCAGCCATGACACTGCCCAACTACCTGTTTCCTGTCTCTGAGCCCGACGCCCTGAACAGGGCTGGCGACACTGGTGACCAGGAGGAGAACTGTCTGGAGGAGAAGGTCCCCACAGAAGACAGCGCTAAGAAGACTGGAAAATCGAAGAAGAGAAGTAAGATGGGGGTGGAGAGAGAGTGTGTGTATGTGTGTGTTTCTTCAAGGGGCTGGGCAGTAGGAGAAGGCTCAGGGAGACCACGGCTGGAGGTGAGTGCCATGCTTCACAGACATGTTCAGAGCATAGCTCTCTGGTGTGGCAGAGACAGATGAAAAGTCCTCCCTTCTGGAAAGCCAGGCCTCGTCAGGTAGCTTGCCTAAAGCCTGACATTTTCCAGACCACTCCTGTCTGCCCAGCAGATACGTAAATGCTTATTAGCAAGCCTATGACCTCAGTGGGTTGAATCCTGCACTGAGTGTTCAGACACCAGCCTTGGCCCCCTGGCCAGTTCCTGGCTCTCTGGGGGCCTCTGCCTCACTCTCTGCTCTTAGCTTCCTTCTTGGAGCTTACAGAGCCGAGACCGTATATGGTAGAGGACTTTGGGCTTTCCCAAGCCCCATGTTATTGATTTACTCAGATGATGGCTGGTCGATACTGCCGTGTCAGTGTGGCAACCAAAGCCTGGTGCCACACTTAATCTGCACAACAGTCACGCCTTCAGACTGCCATTTTGTTTCAAAAATTAGGTGGGGCAGATTCTGTGCTTCTAAAGGTGACTCATTGGCAAGCACTCCATGGCCCCACATTGTTTGGGGCCTGAAAATGCAGGTGGGCCCTTGGGTGGGTGGAGCTACCTGAGTGCGATGCCTGTGGAGTGTGACCTCCAGCCCTGGAGGCAACCTGCCTCTTCCTTGTCGCCGGGTGCCCCTCAGTTGGTAAGCGCCTGGGCCCTCTGTCTCGGGAGCCCAGCCCTGTAGCCTCAGCCCACTCGCACCTTCCCCCCCACCCTCAGTCCGGAAGACCAAGGGCAACCGCAGTACCTCACCTGTCACTGACCTCAGCATCCCCATTCGGAAGAAATCGAAGGATGGCAAAGGTACGGCGGGGAGGCGGTTGAGGTGGGAAGGGAGCTGGTGGGGGTGGGGGGGGGTCTGGGCACCCCATCACCACCCTGCTGCTCTGCAGGCAGCACCATCTACCTGTGGGAATTCCTCCTCGCACTTCTGCAAGACCGGAACACCTGCCCCAAGTACATCAAGTGGACCCAGCGAGAGAAAGGCATCTTCAAGCTGGTGGATTCTAAAGCAGTGTCCAAGCTCTGGGGGAAGCAGAAGAACAAGCCTGACATGAACTATGAGACGATGGGCCGGGCACTCAGGTAGGAGCCCCTGCCCAGGTAGGCTCCCCATGCTTCTCCCTCTGTCCCAGGAGCCCCTCACTAAGGGGCCTCTGACTTTCCCTGAAAAGATCAGGCTCTGTGTGGGTGATGAGTAAGTACCTTGCTCCTCCTGCGTGGATCACCTAGACACTCTTCTGAGGAGCAAATTCCTGGGCCCATCCCCGCAAGTCTCCTGTGACTCTCCCATTTGCTTGCCCCCCAGCCCATTTCCCAGGTCCCATCTGGGAGGGATAGTCCCCTTCTTCTTGTGTTTCTGTCCTAGCCTTTTCTCTTTTTAGAGTGGAAAGAGAATTTCAGGGCCTCCCCATCCCCAAGAAGGGCTTCTTTCACATTCTGCAAGCCAGGGACCAAGGAAGATGGGTCTGACTTACCCACAGTCAATCTCTCAGGCTGGGGGATGGCTGAACCCCAGTCCTCCACCCCCTCCCATCCTTCACTCACCCCATCCTCTGCCCCAAAGCAGCATGAGGGTCAGCATTGGAAATCCCCTTTCGTGGACCCTTTGAGTCATCAGAGGGAGATCGCGGAAACTTCATAAAAGCCTTCTAAGTTCAAAATGCCCCTTCCCTTGCCCAGGGCTCCCATCTGCATCCCCCCCACTGGCCCTGGAGGGCACTGTGTCCCTGACACTCCCCACTCTCCACCCAGATATTACTACCAACGAGGCATCCTGGCCAAAGTGGAAGGGCAGAGGCTGGTGTACCAGTTTAAGGAGATGCCCAAGGACCTGGTGGTGATCGAAGATGAGGATGAGAGAAGCGAGGTCACAGCCACATCCCCTCAGGCCTCTGCTCCCTCCACCTCTGGCAGCAGCTCCCGGAGAGCCAGCTCCCGGGTCTCGTCCAGAGCTGCCCCGCAGGGCAAGGGTGACACTTCCTGGGAAAAGTCGAAGGTGCAGCACGTTGGTCTCCAGCCATCTGCTAGTCTGGAATTGGGACTGTCTGTAGACGAAGAGATCCCCACTACCTCCGCCATGCTTGTCTCTCTACCAGAAAGCCAGGCCAAAGTCACGAAAGCTGTGAGGTAAGGGCGCCCAGGTCATTCCAAGTCTTCCCCTAGGGATGGGGACATTTTCAGCATCTTGCAAAGCTCTGCTCTGTCTCTGGCTCCCGGGACCCTCACAGCATCTCTGGGAATCCAGTGGAACACTCGTGGCTTAAAAGAGGGAAAAGTGACTTGACTGAGGTCCCACACCAAAGTAGCAAATGGCCAAGCCAACCATTGACTTGGGGGGTCTTCTGTTGCCAGCTGGGGCTACTCCTATTACCCCAGGGCGCTCCCCAAGAACCTCCATTCCTGAGCCCATCCTGCAAGTCTCCTGTACTCCAAAAAAGAGGCAACAGAGAAGGTGCCATTCTGCCTTCCTCAGGCCCTACCAAGCCCACCAGGAAAGCTCTTGTTACTACTTGTCCACACTCAGGTCCCTCCAATTTTCCCTGAAAAGTTTGGCCTTTGTCTGGGTTATACATGTGTAGCTGTTACTATGCTGGTGTGGGCCATGGGGATGCTCTTCTGAAGAGGGATGTCAGTACACTGCAGTGGTGATGAACACAATCTCTGGAGGCAGAAAGCCTAGGTGTGTCCCTGTTGCTGGCTCTGTGGTCTAGGGCAAGTTACATAATCTCTCTGTGCCTGTTTCCTCATGCAGGAAAATCAGATTGTTAATCTTATTCAACTCATGGGCTGATCAGAAGGTGGAGTGAAATCCCACATGCAAACCATTCAGAATGATCCCTGACCCAAGCTAAGGGCGCAACAAACAGTAGCTGAAACACCTTCTACTCCATTCCCCCAGTGTCCTCCTTCCACGCCTCCTCCCTGAACCAAATGTGCTTTCTGTTTCTCCTCAGTACTTCTTCAGTGCCCAGCAACATCCACCTAGGAGTGGCCCCTGTCAGGTCGGGCTCGGCCTTGACCCTGCAGACCATCCCGCTGACCACAGTGCTGACCAACGGGCCTCCTGCCAGTACTACTGCTTCAACCCAGCTGGTTCTCCAGAGTGTTCCACCTGCTTCCACCTTCAAGGACACCTTCACTCTGCAGGCCTCCTTCCCCCTGAACACCAGTTTCCAAGAGAACCAGGTGGCAGCACCGGGGGCTCCGCTGATTCTTAGTGGCCTCCCCCAGCTTCTGGCTGGGGCCAACCGTCAGACCAATCCGGCACCACCCTCAGTCATGGGAGCTGGCCCAGCAGGGCCCAGCTCTCAGGCCCCTGGGACTGTCATTGCGGCCTTCATCAGAACTTCCGGTGCCACTGCAGCCCCTGGGGTCAAGGAGGGGCCACTGAGGCCCTCGTCCTATGTGCAGGGCATGATGACTGGGGCCCCCATGGAGGGCCTGCTGGTTCCTGAAGAGACCCTGAGGGAACTCCTGAGGGAGCAGGCTCACCTTCAGCCACTTCCAAGCCAGGTAGTTTCAAGGGCTTCCCACAATCCGAGCCTTCTGGGAAACCAGACTTTCTCTCCTCCCAGCCGCCCCACTGTTGGGCTAACCCCAGTGGCTGAACTTGAGCTCTCCTCGAGCTCAGGGTCCCTGTTTACGGCTGAGCCTAATAATGTAAGCACACCCGGGAGCCTGCTGACTAGATCCCCAACTCCAGCCTCCATCTCCCCATTCAACCCCACTTCCCTCATTAAGATGGAGCCTCATGACATGTAAATGGAGGGGGTCAGGGGGAAACGTGACCGCCAGGCAAAGTTGAGCAGCATTTGTACACGGACTTTCTCTAAGAGAGACTGACTGAAGTAGCATACCAGCCCTTACATTTCAGCAGGGTGTCAATACACCAGACCCCCGTGCCCCACCCCTGCCTGTTGTCATCATAGCCAAGACAGGCCCAGTTGGAGCATCCCTGCTGTCAAACCATGGCTTTCAAGAGTACTAGGGGATATGCTTTTGTCGGAGTAATGGGCTGACTTGCAGATGGAGGCAAACCTGAGACGTTTGTAACCAGGGCTGGGGTAGGGGCTTCATGAGAAGAGTCTTTTCACCTGGCTGTATTCCATTGTCTTCGTTCCCTCTGCAGAGTATTTACTATCCCATATGTGAATATCTCTGTATGTATTTGTGTGTACCTGTGCGTCTGTATCTCTGTTTCTTTGGTGAGGATGGGGGTATAGCTGTGAGGTCTTCAAGGGTGTGTGTCTCTGTGGAGGTCAGCCACAGAGATGGGGAATTTTCTGTTTTGAGGGAAAGCATTCTCTAGTTCGCTTTGTAGAAGCCAAGATTTGGTTGTTCTGAAACTATGGGGTACAGGTTGGAACCCCCAAATCCGGAGAGATGTCACAGAGCTGGGGCAGGTCTGGGGAGGAGAGCTTTGATGGGTGTGTTCGTTGGGGAAGACGGAGTTGTAGGGGACAAGGAGAAAACCATGTGGGATAAAACCCTGAAGAGAGGGAAGGAATTCAGCCCTCTGGAGCAGCCCCGCAGGTTAGACCGAGGTCTTCTTGGGCTCAGCATCATTGCCCACCAGTCATTTGCCAGCAGGCCAGATCCTTAATCTCCCCAGAGTGCTTTGTGCCCCTCCAGGGTCAGACCCAGCCACAAGGTCCTCAGGGGAAGGGGACTAAATTAATGGATGTTTGCGCCCAGGGCTTGGGCTGTAATTCCAGCCTTCACAGTCACCCTGGTCTGCATCCCAAATCCTGGCTTCCCTCTTGACTAATTTCGCCTCTGCCATTTCACTGCTGGCAGGCAGTGCAGGGGACGTCGGGTAACCACATGCTCGGGGTCTGCCTCCGTCCCTGCTCGTGCCTCCTTGCTGCTCAGCCTGCTTTCTACTCCCCTCACAGGTCTGCCCACCCACCCATTCCCTCAATGGCTGCAGTAGACCTCCTCCAGTGGGCCGAGGTCCTTGATGGCCAGCCTTCTCACTTCACTCTGACTCCTCCTCCACGAAGATGGAGCCCGAACCTGTGAGCTCCTGTCCTTTATGTCCCTCCGAATGCCTTCCTTCCACCTTTCCTCTTTCTGAGAATGGGGTCAGCCAGTTATCTCTTAAAGTCCACCCCTCAGCTGGGGGCCTCGATCCCCTCCCCTCTCTCTCCTATGAATTTGCGTTTGTCTCTCCTGCCAGGTTTGGGAGCAAGGCTGAGAGCTCTACTATGTCAGCCTCGGAAATAGTGATAGGATCTGGTGAATGTGGTTACTGTGAATTGGTGCCTCAGGACCTTTGCTGTGTCCTTGACACAAAACCAGCCACCTGACCTCACTACCTCCCCTGGTTGCCCCTTCTCTCTCTCTCCCCTTCTGGTCACTGCCAAGCCCATTATCATGCTCTGTCACCTCTTGTTCTCCCCCTTCTCCACCCTGGGAGGGAACCATGTATGGTTATGCAGGTGTATTTCTTACATGTCTCCAGCACTTGGCATTAATGTCCCTTTTTCTAATAAAATCAGCTTATGATGACAGTTTCCTGGTGGTGGAGAGCAAAACATCTTGAGAAAGGGTCACCTTTGAAAACAACTTTACACAAAGATTCGACGTGGGTTAGGAGTGGCCCTGCCCCCTCACTGGAACCCCATAGAACTCTTCATCTGAAGTCACTGATACCCTGGAGGTGATGTCAAATTTCTTCTTCCTAGTCCTTGGCCCCTTGTGAACCCTCACAGCACATGACACTACTTCCCCTTCCTCCATCACCTTCTCTGTGCCCTTGCTAACTCCACGTCTGCATTCACTCTGGGCACCCCCATGAGCCTCAGCCATCCTCCTGGCTCCAGTGAGGCTCTTCAGGTTGGGTATGGAATCTAGAGGCCCAGCCCCTACTCTTCTCAGCTTCTGGCTCACATTTCTGCTGGATAGTTCTACCTAGATGCTTGTCAGGCCCTCAAAGATTGTCCCTCTATCAAAAATGGATTTTTGGAAGTTTTCCAACACACAAAACCATTCCAGACAAAAAGGCCATCATGACTTGCCTATTTCTGTTATTGTGCTGACCTTCTAAGCTTGACATTTCAGAGCCATCTGAAATGCTGGCCGCGTTCACTTGACCCTGCCCCGTCCTCATTGCCTCAAGTCTGGTGTGGTTTGCCACATCTCTCCAATCCGGCCATTCTTCCACACTTGCAGAGAGCCTCCAGCCTTGTTCATCCTCCCCCAGAGCATATCCCCTTCCCTGGACATATAAGCAGCCCCCCAGTGTGATCTGAGTCACCCCTTCCAACTTGCCAAAAAGTCTCCTGGGGCTCCTCACTGCCTACAAGTGGGGGTGATACTCAAAATCCTTAACTTCCAATCTGTTCTTAGTGGCTGGGCATTAACCCTTTATTGTCTGACTCACAAGGCAGTCCAGGGGTCCTGGAGGAGGGATGGGGGAGCACTTGATGGCTCAGGGCAGTTTTTCCAGGAGTATTTTGCACTTCACCATCACATCCTAGCCTACTTCCCCATTCACCCAGTCAAACGGATGAATTCACTGACCTTTGCACGTGCTTCTGTTGGAGTTGCCTACCTCTGTACTTTTACTTTTCTTGCTTCTGCTCAACCACAATGCTCTTCCCACCCCGCTAGTACTCATCAAATTGTACCCATCCTTTAAGGCTCAGTTCATGGACACTGCCTCCCCAGACCAGCCTACCCTTAAGTGAGTTCATTTGAAATGCGTGGCAAGTGCCATTCTTTTGGTAACTGTGAGCAGCCTGTGACATCGCCTCTATAATAATCACAAACTGTTACTTAAATCTTCAATGACCTGGACTTATGGAGTCTCCCCAGTTAGTGTGTTACCTTCTAAGGGGAGTGGGACTGTCACCCATAGCAGGGCACACTATGAAGCATCTAGTGAGCGTCAACGGACGGTTACTGATTGAGCTGGTGAGAGAGGGGGACCAAAGTGAGGTAGGTGACCTCCGACCTCCCCTCTGCACAGACACTCACCCCAGGTGCTCCGCTGCCCAGGGCCAGCCCTCCCTGGCTCAGTGCCCTCATGGTACCCCCACCCCACCCCTGGCCTTAGCACCCAAGAGTTGTTACTACTTTGAACATCCCCTGCCTCTCAAGAAACTTCCCTGTCCAGTTTCTTTCCTACTCAAAGTGTTAAATTAGCTAAGCTGATAAACTAACCTGTGCTGATGTAGTTAAGGGAGAGGGCTAGAGGAGAGCCTCAGGAGATAGGTTCATTTCACCCAGGGTCATGTGGCAACAGCACCCCTGCCTTTGTAATAGTTTGATGGAGTCAAGAGACTGGCTCCTCACCCCCAACAGCTGATGCATTACTCCCTCCTCTGAGCTCCCACAGCACTTTGTATATACCTCTTATTGTAGCACTTAGCACATGGTAGCGCCTTAGCTATGTGTTTATGTATGTTTCCCCTCCAATAGACTGTGAGCTCCTCAAGGACAGGGACTGTGTGTTAGTCACTGATGTATCCCCCAGCGCCTAACACAGTGCCTGGCACACAGTAGGTGCTCAATAAATGTTTATTAAAAGAATGAATGAGTCCTGTTTCTAATCATGGAGATTTCAGCGCTATACTAAGGCAGGCCAGAGAGGCGGGGAAGGGACACCCACACTTGGGGCCTACCACAGCTTTCGACCCCTCATAGAGCATGGCAGGTAGCTGGCTCCCTTGCCCATGTCTGCGGCCACCCCAGGACAACAGGGTCCACGAGGAGCCCAAGGCTGCTTCCAGCAGTGCCTTGCTGTCACTACGTGCCCCGGGCGACTCTGAACTCCTGCCCTTCGCTGCTGCCCCCTTCCTGGGACAGACTCATCGCTATTTCCTCACACCTGGTGGAAATGTCAGGCCCGGTGGGAGGGATGGAACAAGAAGTGATTCTCATGATCGTCGTTCCTCTGACCCCATCATGTATTTTTAAAGAGGCGGTTGCCTCCAGCTCCAAAGCCGCTGGATCCGAGGTGAGTGAACTCATTCCCCAGCCGTTCCCAGGCCAGGGAGGCCAACGCGGTCGCTCCCTGCAGAGCCTCGGCCTCGGCACGCCAGGCGTGCGTCCGGCGTCCGGCAGGTGGCGCTATGGAGCCGGCGCAGGCGGGCGTGTGGCCCAGCGGAGCCCGGGAAGGGAGAGGCGGTCAAGGGCGGGGCCTGCCGCTCCTGGCGGAGGCGGCCGCAGCCGGCATCTTCCTGTCCCTCTATCCTGACTCTGCGCCCCAAACTGTCCCTGGGCGGCTCTGGCTCCCAAGCAGGCCTTCCATTGCTCGGGAGCTTGGAACTTTCCCCCCAGCCCTCGCCCCCTCCACTTTCCAGGGGGAATTTAACAGTCAAACGAATACCCTCTCCCCATTGGCCGGTAGCGCCCTGGCCCCGCCCCCGTCGCCCCCCACCCCTAGCCTCCGGGACTAGCAGGTGAGCACGCGGCGGGCCTGGCCTCCGTTGCCGGCCTCCACTCTCTCCCTGGCGGCGGGAGTGAGCCCGGGCCGCGGCCGCCAGCCGCAGGGCTCCCGGCCTGGCCCACCTCCCACCGCAGCCTGCCTTTAGCTACAGTTGAAGCTACAGCGCCGCTTTCAACCTTGAAATCGGAGAGCAATTGAGGCGCCCGCGACAGCCTTCTGCCCGCGGAGGGCCCCAACCGCTCGCGGCAAGACCCCGAGCTACTGAGGGTCAGGCGCGCGGCCGGGGAGGCATCCGAGTCCGGTTGCCCAACGCTGGGGCTTGCCAGTCCGCCTCGCCGGGGAAACCCGTGGTCTAGGAGAACACGTGGAGCCCGCCCCACCCCGTGGCGGGGTCCAGAAGGCCCAAACACTTGGCGCTTCCCCCTGGCTGTTAAGCAGACTGCCCTTGGGGCGGACTCCATCCTCCCTGAACACACACACGCACTTGTCTTAGCAGGGATGGGACACATTAAAATGCCCAGCAGTCTTCCCCGTCGTTGATTAAAGTATGCAAGGGGCAGGAGTTTGCCGCCCAATTCGCCGCCCTCCCCCAACCCAAATAGGGCTGCAGTGAAAGCGGATCGTCCTTTCTCGGAGTATAGAGACTCCAAGAGCCTCCCTCTCAACCCAGCACCTCAAAGAGGAGCACTCTAAGACCATCAACTGTAGGCTCGTGAGCTCGGTATGTCGGAGGAACTAACTTCAGCTAAACAGCCATGGTTACTTAGTATGTTTCTCTTTCGTTGGCGGTAAACTGGGCCCCATTTGGCAGATGGAATAATGAAGGCTCAAAATACTAGGTTCTCTCTCACCCGCTGTCAGCCTAGGTGGGAAGTGGTGGGCTGGCTCTTTCCCTGAGGCCGCACTGAAAAGGATTAGATCGTTTAATAAGAGGCGATCGTCCTCTCCCCAGTTCCAACCTGGGAATGCACACTCATCTCCTGCTTTATGGGATTCACAGCCCATTCCTCCATTTTTGGTCTTCCCACTCTAGCAGAAGAGCAGTGAGAGGGCTCCAGGAAAGGTGTGGCAAAGGGAGCCCCAAAGCAGGAAATAAGAAACTGCTGTTTGGTGTGGCTTTCAACTCACTTCCTTTCTCCAGAGAAATAAAGGAGTGTGTGCATGCCCACACACCCAAACGCCCAGGGCTGTCCAGGAGTCGCAAAGGACCATCACCCATTCCTTTGTGATCATTCTGACTTTGCCCACTGCATCTCCATCCTGCCCTAAATGGAAATCCTTATACCCCTAAGGCTCTCCCTTCATCCTTTGTTCTAAATCGGGCAATCACCTTTTCCCTTCCCTCTGCCTGTCCCACCTCCAACATATTTTACCAATGTATTAAAAGAAAAAGGAAAAACTCATGTCACTACCTGGTTTAGAGTTCCCATGGTTCCCCAGCACCTCAGGCAAAAGTCAAAGCCATACTCCTTGGCATGGCTGGCAGGGCTCCTACATTCTCCTTCCCCACCTGTACCTTCCAGCTGCAGTGACACTGAAGTGGGTTGAGGTTTCCTGCACATACTACCCTTCTTCTTTGTCCCCAAGCCTGTGCTCAGATGTCCCCTTAGTTCAAGGGTTCCTCCCTGCCACCCCAATTCCCATTTTCCTACTTGTCAACTAGGCATCACTTCCGACCACCCCCGTGCCCTTGCCCATCCAGCTGAGCTCCCAAAGCATCCTGGGCTTAGCTGGATCCTCGCATTCATCACATGGCCTCAGGAGTTGTTTGGGAAGACTTGAGGCCTCAGGATCAGGAGATGGGGAATGAAAGCTAATGGGGAGGATTAATGCTGCTCCTCCATCTGAGCAACTCAAGGGTCACTCCTGGGGCAGGATGGCTGGATTACTGTTGGCCAGAGAGACAGACCCCCTGGCTGGTACGTGACACGGCTCTCCAGACACAGCAGCCACAGTGAGAGATCTTAAGAGCATAGCTTACAAGGGCCTCATCCCAGACCTGCAGACATCCCCTTCCCTTCAAACAGTAACAGGCTCATTCTCGAGCCAGCAGTCACAAGTCACAATCATACTTTCTCCCGCTGATTTTCAGAAGGGAGAAAAGTTGTAAAGTCTAGGATGGGCATCTTGCCTCCAAAGTAGGTGGGTCTTAGGAAAGCAGAACCATGGAAGGTCTGCACTGTGTAGGGGGGCAGAGGGGACACCGGCAAGACAGTGAGGGCAGTGAGTGACAAGACCATGAAGTCTGCTGCTCACACAGGTGGCTCAGGGCAGGAAACAGTGCTGGCAGGCAGGTGATTTCCTTGAGTTAAAGAGGATCATCCCTCACAGCCACCTCAAAGAGGCCCCCTCCCTCTGAGCATACCCCTCTGGGGAGATCAAGGACTGTGCGCACATGTGTGGGGGCACCCCCACGCAGCCTACCAAACTGATGCAGGTACTCGATTCTTCCCAGGATTTGCCCGGGCCTTTCCTTTTCTTTCCAGATCTTGCCAAGGTGACCCAAATCCTCACTGGTCACTCTGTTTTCTCATTTGCTGTGCCAATAAGGACCCCAAACCGCAAAGCAGGCTGAGGCATTTCCCCACTAACTTCATAGGGATACCCATCTTTTTTTAACTACGGAAAAGCCAATACAGGGAGCAGAGAAAAGAGACAGGAGACAGAAGCCCTGACACAGGTTTTTCAGTATGCAAGTGTTTTTGACTCCACAGCCAGTTGCTTAAAATGAAACATAAAGGGCAGCCAAAATACACACCCAAATGCAAAAAAGGAAAGGCAAACATAAAATAAACCACACAATACCATGAACCCCAACAAAACCAGAAAATTAAACCCAAAAAAACCCCTCAACTTTATATATATATATATATATATTTTTTTTTTTTTTTTAAAAAGGGAGAACAACTGTTCAAAACCAACTGGGCAGTATGGTGGAGGTGGGTAGCAGTCCTACAGAAGGGGGCCTAGAACTTCCCCCTGGGAACAAAGAACAAACACAATACAAAGAAAATAACCAACAATCCTCCTGCGAGGGTCAGGAGTCTCCAAAGAACAGATTGTCCCATCCTCAAACTGGCTTTTTTTTTTTTGCCTTTTTTTTTGTCTTTTTTTTTTTCCATTTTCTTCTTTTGTTGTTGTTGTTTTAGCACCTGTACAATAAAACTGTACCATCTCCAACCAGAGCCGGCCGTAGGGAGGCCCTCCTGCTTCTGGATGGTACATACTCTCTACAAGGATTGTTCGGAAAAATAGCGATTGGTAGAAAAATAAGAACAAGGGTGGGAAAGACAATGCCACAGAGGGGGCTGGGGCAAGGAAGCAGCCCAAACCCCTCCTTCTCTCTCTCCACCAACAAACCCAGCGCTGAGAGGGAGACCTGGTAGGGCCGGGCCCGCAGCCCCCTGTCCCCAAGCAGGAGTGGGGCCTGGCGGGAGACCAGTCTCCTGCCCTCACCTAGGAAAGAGCTGAGACCTGGGTTCAACATCTGGCAGGAACTCCCAGAGCCCTCTGGAAATTCCAAAGGAGAATTGGGAGGGGGGGGGGGCGCAGAGGGAGAAGGAGCTGAGGACAGAGAAAAGAGAAAGGGAAGCTTCAAAGGCAAGGAGGAAAGATGGGGACAAGGGCAAGAGGGAGCTGAGAGGCTCAGTCTCCAGGGAGGGCAAGGCTCGGGTGGGGTAGGGTGACCAGGGGTGCAGGGGAAGAAACTGTGGAAACAAACCTATATTGTGCATTCTGAGGGCAGTGAGGATGGTGAGGAGGAGGCAACCTGTTCCTTCAAGACCCATTCTCAACTCTCCATTAGAGTAACTTATTAATTACCCCTTATTCCCACAATCCTCCCCTCCCCAGTAAACAAGCATCTCCAAACAGCAGGGCTGCTGCAAAGGGCAGGGGGGGTGAACAGGGGTGGGGGGTGGGATTGGGAGAGGGGTGAGCACCAAAGCCTCAGGATTCACCCCCAACCCCCCAGACCTGGGCCAGCACCAACCACCTTCATTAGTTACAAGTCAATGGCCCCCACCCTTCCCTGCCTCCTCCCCAGTGGTGGAAAAAAACCTGGGAGTAACTTTTTCAGAGGGAGGAAACAGCTTCAGAGCTTGATCAAGAAAGACAAAGAAAGGAGGTGAAGA